ATGCATTCTAGCGCTCACCCGGTATTGATGGATGGCCGAGTACTGCTAAAGAGCCGTTCATTTCGGCTAGTTGGAGTCCAGAACACATGACCTCCTTATTCTATAAGACCTAGCCTCGAGTATTGCTCACAAGTTTGGGGTGCTGCCGCCCCGACTACATTATTGATGCTCGATGCTGTCCAGAGGAGGGCTGATCGATGACTCTCTAATAGTCTTGGGACCCTTTCGTCGCCGATCTAGCTGTCTTCCAGCACGACAGTAACGGGCTTTGCTCCTTACAGCTCTCCTCCATGATGCCGCCGCGCGATGTGGCTGCCAGACGGACCCGCCTGACTTCGGCCTCCCATCCTAATCGTGTCGAACATTGTGTATCCAGAACTGGATGATACGGCCGCTCCTTTGACCCTAAGGTGTCGCGATTGTGGAACAATCTACAACAGGAGGCTTTTCTCAGTTTTACTTACCTTAGGCAAAAATCGGATTAACAAAGTTTCTTTGGGGTCCTGACAATAAGGAGTCTGCTGCGGTTGCTTTCTTGTAAAAAAACCTTATTCGTCCACTTAATGAAACTATCTGTGACTTCTAGATGTAATGGATCCTTTGAAACTCCCTTTATTCCATAATTTCATTTTGAAAAAATAAATAAAATGACTTATGTGACTCGATTAAGGTGTTTAGTATGAAACAACTATGAGACGGATTTGCTAACATGTTGGGCTCAAATTGCTGTCATGGCATTTTATATAACCTCATATTCATTTACTATTTTGTCATTTTTCTTTATATCGAAAAGTTCCGGGTACGCATATTATAGGGCTTATAGTAGTATACAGACATGTAGAGGAAGACACTGTAGTGAGATACTTTCCAAAGTTTGTCTGACGAAATATCAATATTTTGCATTCTGAAAATAGCGGATTTTGGGTGTTTTCACTTTTTTCTAGGAAGCAAGAAGTGCCAAAACTTCCCCTCCAAAGTTGGATCTTAAAATTTCGAGGCAACACTGTAACGTACCCGTACCTGCTACCAAAACTGAAGAGAGTTAAATTCATCGCATGCCACTGTTTCCTTTCTCGGCTCAAAATTAGTGAGATTTCCCTACTTAGAACCAGGAAACAAATAATTATATACAGAATATTTTTTTCGTTGGCCAGTGATAGTAATTTATCACTTTAATCACCTGCGTCACTGGAGTATGGAAGTTACAAATGTAATGAATCTCGCATGGATTGTGGTCTGACATGCGAGAGAGGGACAATAGATACTGAAGTTGAACAGCTATCCATCCAGTATTTATCGATAGATTTTGAATTGTTGAATGGAATGAGCAACATGCTGCTGGTAGCAGGTTGGGATTCAAGTGACATTGATGTATTAAACGCAAACCTGAACCCTATTAAATCGAACGAGGGTTCATTTCATGATCAAACTCAATTCCACAGCTATATTTGATGGAAGCTTCTGTGGCCGAATCGATGCCATAATATAATTGGAAAGTCTAAAATTGATAACATGCTGTTAAGCTGATGGCTCCTTTTTGCTTCCTGAACGGCAGGGGTATTATGTAAAAAACTTAATGTCACTTTTCAAGATACATAATACCAGGTAATAAATTTGGTTCTAGTAATTAATTTTAGTTCATATATTCATTTTTTTTGGTTGCCCACAAAACAGACAACGTCAAGGAAATAGGGGGGAGGAAAAAAGCAAAAAAGAAGCAAAGCAGAGAAAAAATGTTTTATTTTGTGCACGGATTAATTTTGAGGTGCATTGATCACAATGCGAGCTGTGGCCTTGAATTACTACAAACTTGTTCCACTGTGTAGTCCACTTAGTCAAGCAACAGAGGGTTGCAGTGCGATTCCGCTTGACCATAATGTCGCTGCGCCTGGAGCTTGACATAAACCCTCAAGTAAGGAATGTCGAAGTCTCTGTAGGGTGTCTCACTTGAGACATACTATGAGGAGTGAAAATTCGTAAAGTCCTGCATTGCAGAACTTGCAGACCTTATATGTGGCTTGGCACGAGAGCACCAAGATGGTCTAATAACACTGATCATCAGCCAAAAAATATCCTAAATAAAATCAACAAAATATTACTATTTTTAATGTGCTAAAACCGGAATGAAACTTATTTTTTCAATATTAGTTCAAGTTTTAGAGATACGGTAATTATATGTGTTCCTGCTGTGACAGTGTTAATATACTGTAATTCACAAGAATGCAAATGCTACATTTTTATATTCGGCAAGGAAAGGTGATGTAATCGGCATGATTGTGTTACGTTATACATACGTGTACATTATATTGTTTTATATTAGCCATTTTTTCCTCAGTTGGCTGATAGCGTTCATGCAAGATGTCTCGAAAGTGTGTAAACAATCCAGATCAGTTTTATTACGTTTGTGGTGATGTGACTTTTGCGTCTCAGAGACGGTCTATTACTCCACTAATAACAAAGGCATATCAGCTTTATTTCGGTTGTAAGCTAGGTGATCAAGACAAACAGTGGGCACCCCACATCTGCTGTAATACATGTGCTTCAAGTCTGAGGAGCTGCTTAAATGGCAAAAAACGGTCTATGCGCTTTGCTGTCCCAATGGTTTGGAGAGAGCATACAAATCATATTAATGATTGTTACTTTTGCATGGTACCTTGTGTTGGACAAGCCACAGGTATGTCCAAGAAAAAAAAATCGGTTATTAACTACCCAAACATACCATCTGCGATGAGACCTGTGCCTCACAGTGACGAAAATCCTATTCCAAAACCCCCAGAATCCTACACTTGCGAATCAGAAAACGAATCAGATCATGGCGATCGAGTGATTCGTCAGGAAGAAGATATGCCATCAACGTCAAGAGATCCTGATTTTATACCGAGCACGTCATGCCACCAACCGCACAAAATAACACAGTCAGAATTAAATGATCTTGTAAGAGATTTAGAACTTCCAAAATGTAAGGCAGAGTTACTTGGATCAAGACTGCAGCAGTGGAACTTGTTAGAAGACGATGTTTCGGTATGTGTTTTTCGTAAACGCCACAAAGACTTAGAACCATTTTTCAATATGGAGAATAACTTGGTTTTCTGCAGTAACATTAACGGCTTACTGGCGGCTTTAAATATAAACTATAACCCAGAAGAATGGAGATTGTTTATAGACAGTTCAACATTGAGTTTAAAGGCAGTGTTATAGCATATTGGAAATATTTTACCATCTCTTCCTGTAGGGTATGCAGTTCACATGAAAGAATCATATGACAATATGAAGTACCTATTGACATGCATAAAATACGATGAGCACCAATGGCATATTTGTGGCGATTTAAAAGTTGTTGCACTTTTACTTGGGCTGCAGCTAGGCTACACAAAGTTTTGTTGTTTTTTGTGTGAATGGGACAGACGGGCAAAGGCACTTCATTACACCAGACAAAACTGGCCTGTTCGTCAATTCCTAGAGCCAGGTCAAAAAAATGTACAGCATATGCCATTAGTAGATTCGAAAAAAATTTTATTACCACCACTGCATATCAAGTTGGGCCTAATGAAAAACTTTGTCAAGGCATTAGATAGAGATGGGTCAGCTTTTCAATACCTGCGTCAGAAATTTCCAAGACTAAGTGAGGCAAAGGTTAAAGAAGGTATTTTTGTTGGGCCACAGATTCGAAATATTTTGAAAACACTCTAACAGGTATTGAAAAAACTGCTTGGAATGATTTCCGTCTGGTGGTCACTAATTTCTTGGGAAATAGAAAAGCTGACAACTATAAAACCCTTGTCAAAAATATGCTGTCATCGTATCAAAAGATGGGCTGTAATATGTCTCTTAAGATAGATTTCCTACACTCACACCTGGACTTCTTTCCTGACAATTGCGGAGCCGTAAGTGATGAGCACGGCGAACGTTTTCATCAGGATATTTCAACAATGGAAAAAAGGTACCAGGGAAAGTAGAATCCTTCCATGCTTGCAGACTTCTGTTGGACTCTTGGTAGAGATGCTCCAGAAACGATCCATAAAAGAACAGCAAAAAGGCAGCACATATAGTGATTCTTATAAGTATATGAATCTTGTTACTTTTTTTAATATATCCTTAAAAATAAAAAGTTTCTAAACCGCAACTAATTTTTTTATTTCATTGTCATTTTTGGATTCAGCGCCCCAAAATTAACAAAGAAGTGCACTTTTCCCACAAGATACAATTAAAAAACTAAAATTTGTTGTCCAGTGTAATCATTGTGTTTAGTTGACCTTTTTTATCAAACTTAATTTGGAGGATCTACATACCAAGAGATATAGTTGACGAAACGTAGTTTGGAATTTTGTTTCACATACCTATACATTATCAATATTCTGTCTGTGTCCTGATGAATACATATCAAAACACACAATAAAGTTTCGGTGCAATAGCAGCGATGACCACTTTTGCTCCCGCCAGGCGTCGTTGGTGTGGCTAGAGGCCAAGCTGTCAAAACTAAATGGGAATAAATTAAATAGAATATTACATACTTAGAAAACAAGCTTTTATTTAGCTGATAATAAAACGAACAAAAAATTCAAAAACATTTTTTCGATCGGAAATATTCAAATGATGATGAAATTCATTCATTTCAAATTTTCAAATCAAAGCGTGCTACACTCTTGTTCCATCCTGCTGTCAGAACGCGAACCAAACGTGTGTAGAAAATTTCAGCTCAATTGTTCGAAGCTAACTGCTTAAACATTCTATTCAAAGATTTGTCCCACACATACTTAGTACAAAATAGGTCAAGATAAATAAAAGCTTGTGAAAAGACAGATTTGATAGCAAAGGAACTTATTTTCACGATACTTCATCAGGGTTTGACAACAGCTGATCATTGACATGTTGGTTGATAACCTAGCTACTTCCCCAACCCAGCTAGCGCCATCTAGATTACCCCCCCTTAATTAGGACATTTTCAACAGATTTGATTTACTTATTGCATATTTTGAGAAGTAAATATATTTTTTAGCAATTATTACAACATACTAAATATTTAGATTGATTTTTGAAAGAGTTAACCCGTCCGGTTATATTCGACAATTGTACTGCAAATCTGAAAGGCCTTGTAGCTTTTTATGGCAAAATAGTAGCTTTACACAAAATTGGTCAAACTAAATTTGTTCTAACAATTCATACTGAAATAGGTAAGGTAACTTAAATAATTTAACATTTTGTCTTGAAAACGATTCGAGATGAAGACAATAAAACTAGATGCATTGCAACTAACGTCCAGTATTTATTGATATTGATCGTAAGATTTCATTGTCCGACAGTAATTTTCCACCACTTGAGGTCTTCAAAATAAATAAACATAAACTATAGATATTTGTGGGCAATAGGCAGTGATGCAACTAACGTCCAGTCTTTATTGATATTGATCGTAAGATTTCATTGTCCGACAGTAATTTTCCACCACTTTTATTGAGGTTTTAAAATAAAAAATATAAACTATACATATTTGTAGGCAAAAGGCAGTGATGACCAACCTATTACGAATATACATATATTTATATATATTATATATTATTCAGGCATACAATTATTCACAAAAAAGTATTTTTATCTTTATGATCAGTTCCTCAATATCCGAGAGAACTTTGGAGAAAAATATTTGAAACAGTTTCATGAATGTCTGTTTTTTAAACCTTGAAATCCATGTATGAAGTACCACAAAACATACTACAATTTAGAAGCATATAAGCTATCCACAATAGGACCTACATAGATTAAAAAATGAGAAATCTTCCTACTGGTGTATCCATATACTAAGAAAAAAATCACTTTTGTTTTGCCTTTTATAATATATGTACATATATCTATCGAACCCAGAGTAATGTATCAGATATAATGGATAAAACGTATTGTCTTCAAACTTCACAAGCACTTTTCCTGAACGATCAGTCGCGGTGTCATACGGTTCTCTTGAAATCACCATGTTTTCATTACCTCTACACACATCATTAACAAGCACCAAACTCATTATCATCACTTTGTGTATATTTTTCACATCCCCACGAAATGTTGCAAGATTGGAGACATTTGTAAAAGAAATGCCCTTTCCAAATAAATGTTTATTGGTTAATCTCCAATTGAAATTTGCCGAGAGTATCCATCAAGATTTTCTAGCTTCGTGCCGTGAAAAAGTTGAAGCACATTCAATCGAAACTGCAATAAAATTTTGAAGCATCTTTTGTTTGAAGTCCGGAACAAGTATTCTACTTTTTCATAATATTCGTTGTCTTCGTCAAGAAATTCTCTAAAAAAATGGTATTTCTTCAAAATTACTGAAGTTTTCTAAAAGTTCATCCATTAAGTTATCATTTCGCACTATTTTCTTTATACATGGCCTTCCAGGTGAATATTGGTTTATCAAAAATTTTCCTAATTCCGCCAAGTCAAAACATCATCTCCCTTACTATCATTTATGTTAAAACACCGTAAGGGGATATTGATATTCTTTGTTGGACCCAAAGCTGCTTCTTTGGCAACGGCATTATCAGAAGTGGCCCGATCATGTTTTTTATGATGAGTTTCTTGCTTTGGAAGTACTTTGGTGTCTTGGCAATTCATATGATGTACTCGTACAAACTTCATTAGAACTACCTGCCGTCTCTTCTCGCTCAGGCATTTTGATTGGTCTAATATTAGTTTTATCCCAGTACAGACTGTTCTTCTGTACGGCAGTACCGGTATATTTCGGGCTAGTTTCGGTCTCCCTACCGCAGTTTTCTTCCTTGGATTTGGTAATTTTAATATACTTGCGGCTTGTCAGGATTCCTTCACCCCAGATTTTGATGTTTGATATAATTCAGGCTAGTATGGATCGGCTTATCCCAGTTTTCTTCCTTCGGCACGATATTTTTAATATAATTTGGGCTACTATGGATCGGCTTATCCCAGCTCTCTTCCTTCGGTACGATAGTTTTGATACAATTTGGACTACTACGGATCGGTTCATCCCAGTTTTCTTCCTTCGATACTGCAGTTTTTTTATATTTCGCGGTACTAAGTAACGGCATATCCCATTTTTCTTCCTTCGGCACGATAGTTTTAATATATTTCGGGCTACTATGTACCGACTTATCCCAGCTCTCTTCCTTCGATTCGATAGCTTTGATATATTTCAGGCTACTATGGATCGGCTTATCCCAGCTTTCTTCCTTCGCCTTCGGTACGATATTTTTAATATACTGCGGGCTACTATGGATCGGCTTATCCGTGTTTTCTTCCTTCGATACTACAGTTCTAATATATTTCGCGGTACCAAGTAACGGCATATCCCATTCTGCTGCCTTCAGTACGATAGTTTTGATATATTGCGGGGTACTATCGATCGGCTCATCCCAGTTTTCTTCCTTCGATACTGCAGTTTTATTATATTTCGCGTTACTATGACTACTGATGACCTTATGCTACTCCCACATTGTTGATACTGATTTCGCAGTAATTGGTCGTATCTGGTTGTGCTGGGTCCAAGTACTGATGTATCGCACAACATTGCTCTACGTCGTCCCATAACAGCCTGATCCGGTCGTGGGTTAATACAGTAACCACCTGGAACATAACCTGGTGACATACCCTCTAATATCCTCGTATCATACTGTGGATTATAACTGTCGGTGCACCAGTTCCATATCAAAACGATGATTCCTGAGACAGAAAGGAGGAATACAGCGACTAGCGGATCCATAAAATCAGCTGATCACATTCACATAAACACTAAATACGTAACTCATGAACCACTTACAGCACTGGCTGGTTTACTGGTTGTCAGTTCTGGTGCGCCGTGTTGGGCGTATCGAAGAATGTATTTATAGCCCAGGTGAGACAGGCCTAATTACATTTTGTTAAGGCGGTATTTGCTTACACTGTATTCCGTGCTATCTACGAGATAGTAGCGAAAAGCCAAAAATGAATCTGGAAATCTTTTGAAAAGTGTTAGAGTGTTTGATTCTGTTACTGACCTTCAGTATACCTTCTATACCCACTCGAGGACTCAATACTGCATCGGTTAAATAAAAGACACCTAAGAGGCAACCAATTATGATGGAAGTCTGATCTCTACCAAAAATCATTCTTTCTTGACAATATCAATAGCTTTAACCAGCTGTCTTTCCTACTATACTAAGTGACATATAAATCCGAACACTCAGTTTAAATGGTTTTATTTTAATAAAAGTTGGTGAATGATATATCTTGCTGTAAATAACAAGTGAAAAAATTTTTTTAATTCACTAACGCTCTAAAAATGAATATTTCAGCCGCAGTAAAGAATCAACGTTGGCGGATTTTGGTTCTTGACATCCTTTACGATCGGTTACGATGCCTAGAGTACGGAGACCTGTACGATTTCGTCAACTTAGTGAGTTTGATAGGGGCCGTATAGTGGGACTTCGGGAAGCTGGACTTTCTTTTCGGGCAATTGCAGTTAGAGTGCAAAGAAGTATAGACACTGTGGTTAGGTGTTGTCAGGCATGGCTTCGAGAAGGCCGTACGCAAAGAGCAAGGGGCACTGGACGCCGCCGTAGAACAACAGACAGTGAAGATCGCCGCCTAAGATTATTGGTCTTAAGGGACCGTTCTCCACTACCAAGTCCATTGCAAATGGTTTGCAGAACACGGAAGACCTATTGGCATGCGAAGTGTTTACCGACTAATGAGAAGTTTTGGCTTGTTTTCATACCGGCCACACTGGGTCCTCCCTTTAACTCGAGAACACCGACGTAATCGACTTGAGTGGTGCAGACAACGGTCACTCTGGGATCAGGTCAGTCTTTAGTGACGAGTCTCGATTTTGTTTAGGCATGCACGATGGTCGTGCCAGGGTTAGAAGGCGGCGTGGTGAAAGGAGGAATCCACAGTTTTTTGTTGAAAGAGATGTTCATCACACTGTTGGAGTTGTGGTTTGGGGTGCTATAGCTTATGGTTCCAGGTCACCTTTAATCTTCATCAGAGGTAACATGAACGCGCAGCGTTATATCCACGAAGTTCTAGAACCCCATCTTTTACCCTATCTTGACACCCTGGCAGATCCAAATTTCCAACAAGATAATGCCCGACCACATGTTGCAAGAGTCACAATAGACTTCTTTCAACATAATGATGTCACATTGTTACCATGGCCACCAAGATCTCCCGACTTATCCCCAATTGAGCACGTGTGGGATATGATGGGTAGGAGATTGCTCAATTTGCAACGTCCTCCTCAGACTCTAGAAGCACTTCGAGAGGAGTTGGTGGTTGCCTGGAATGAGATACCACAGGAGGACATTGACCACCTGATCAGAAGCATGCCTAGGCGCGTTGGAGAATGCGTAGCACATCAGGGTGCATCCACACATTATTAAAGGTCAAAGGGCTTTAAAGCAGTGCAATCATTTTGAAATTTTTATCATTTACTTATTATGCTTCATTAAATACTTATACAAAATTTTATTAAAATAAAACCATTTAAACTGGGTGTTCGGATTTATATGTCACTTAGCATATATGTAAAGTCTAAAGTATGGCTGTTTCGTCTACACTGTTCAAAAAGTGATACTTCTTTGAGCCACAGCTGAAGCTGCTTTAATGTCACCGATTAACGATCTTAAATTTATGTATCGATATGCTAACGAAATTTGTTTCTTTGATTTCTCCTCCGTAATGCCATCCGTAAAGTTTTCCCGATTATGTTATTAATCGTAACGAGCTTTATACTCACAAACTCTGCTGAGCTCATTTATATTGCTTGCGATACTCCAGTATTTAGGTTTTGTTTCCTTGCTCAGTGAAATGCAAAATAGTCGAATAGATTGAAATATCTAAATATACTGAACACTCTACCTACCTATAATGGTGTTAATTTAGCTGGTTTTCATTCTCGCTCGGTCAGTGAGGCCACTTCAGATAACTGTTTTAATATCAGTGTTGCCAAACTAAGCTGATAAGCAATTAAAGTGCGTCTCTACAGTAATATTGAAATACTTATTGACAAATATTCAGAAATTCCTCTGCATGCATATAATTTATTTTATACCGAAGCAGCCGCATAGACATAAGCTTAAATACCAGGGCACCTCGGCTGCTATAAGGAGCTTAAATAAACTTTGTAAATCCGGTTTTTGAACCGCCTAAGGTTATTTGAACTGGGAAAAGCCTTTTCAGGTAAGCAATTTACCAATTTCGGTATCCTAGGGCCAAAGGTACGGTCGATTCGGCCAGTTCTCAATGTACGGTGTTCGATACGGTTAGGATGCGAGGCCAAAGACAGGCGGGTCTGTCTGGCAGGCTCATCGCGCGGCGGCAAGCTCGTTGACATAGCGGTAGAAGATAGCTAGATCACCGAAGGCGCTTGGTGCGAAATAGTGCCGAAATAGCCCTGATAGTCGGAGCGGCAGCACCCCAAACATGTGAGCAGTACTCGAGACTAGGCCTTGCCTGGGCCTTGTACATAGTGAAGATGTTATGTGGAAAAAGTACTTCTTAGCCCTAAATAAATAGCCCAACTTTTTCCCAGAAGCTGCCACTGTTGACGAGATGTGTTCGTATCAGATCAGGTCCTCGGTGATCTGGACTCCGACCAGCCAAAATGAAAGGCTGTTTGACAGACTGCGTTTTAGGAGCATTAAACCAGATTGTTGCGTCCCCAAATGGTGATAACCTCCAGGTCTCTCGTCAGAGACGAAGTCGCTGCTAATCTTCTTTTCTCCAGCTCACAGGCAGAGTTCGACTTGTCACTATAAATTTCTGCATCTAGGGTGCTGTTATCAGCAAAGTTATGGATGGCATTGATCGTATAGAATGGAGATCTTTGATATGTAAGGGGAACAATGTTGCAATCAAGACCGATCTCTGAGCAACACTCGCGTTGACATTGTGGGATGAAGAGGAGAACCTGTCAGTTATGACGGATATCTTGCCTTTGAATGGAAAGTCATCCACCCACCTGCATAGCTTTTCTGGGAGGCAGCATGGCACAGATGATCGAATGCTTCGTAATATCAAGAGCAACGACATAAGCCTCACCATCAGACTATAATTTTTAGTTTACATGGTTGAGCGGCAACTATTCCCAAACTATAATCTTAATAATGCACATTTGTGGAAAAGTAGCGATAGCCAATAGATAGATTAGCGTTATCAACGGCATAATTTGAGAAAAATAATAATGTCTATGCTTATTTGAATGGTTATTTTTAGAACAGTAAATTAAAAGCGAGTCAAAACAACACTCAGGCGTGAACTTGTTATCTGCTTCATTTCTAACTTGTTCCCAGTAGCAGCGTATATAGGGAGTAAAAAAATTATAGCAACAATTCTGAAGCAGGAAGTGAAACCAAGAATAACATGAAATCTCTTTATAGTCCAATCATTGGCTGTTAAAAAGGGGTCGCACAAGAAAGTTTGAAGGATTTTTGAAAATTTCGACTTTCTTATAAAACTCACCAATTTTTTTCAAATTTCCACTTTGCTGTTCCGCATCTTTTTCGCTAGAGCCTACATGCTACAAAAATGATGGCTAGAACCAGTTATTTACAGTATATGTGTTCCAGTTCTTTGTGCAGAGAAATGGATGGCCATATGACAAATCGTAGCATTTTTATCTAGATTGGATGTACTACAGAATGAATAATATTCGTATAATTCAAGTTATTGGATAATCATTAATAAATAGGCGCGGGCTTGAAATACCATGTATTCAGAGTTAGGGCGCGGTACCGAATCCCTACCACAGTTCTTCCAGCGCCTCTCACCCTTTCATCTATTTAACCATTAAACAAAACAGATGCTTTAGAATCGATGCTCAAAACTTCCGATATAGTCATTTGAATTTCTCACCCTGCAATCTCGTATTTTTGCCATACGCGCCAAGATATTGGAGGGCTCTTCAAGCAAAATTGTTCCACGACAGCTTCGCTTTATGCTACATATAATTTTCGAAGACAAGCGTTACTATCGTCAAAACAGAGCGGGAATGGTCGCAAAATAATGTTTTAAATTATAAATGTGAAACCAATGAAGATCCCAAAAAAGTGAGCTAGAGAATAATGTATATCGCGCATTTTGAGGGAACTAAATACTAACGTTTCTATACCACTGGTTCAATTTGGCTCAACTCCTACACGTTAAACCTTGGTAAGAAACAATGATTGATAAGAACTTTGCCACTATTTTTTAAACACGCTATGTACATCACTCAAATTCCTACGCAATAAACGATCAAATTGAGTCCATCTATTCATCTCTTATTTTTGCATCTCTTTTCTATAAATAAACTGGTAAGTGTAATTTGTAAGAGGATACATTTTCTGTAGCGATACATTTCTGGCTTCCTTCGCACCCCAACTATACCCAAAAGGACAGTTTTCTCTGAACTACCATATATTTCCGGAAAAAGGATGTTAGCATCTCTGAAAAGTGAGCTTTACGAGGGTTTCTAGCTGTAGCATTTGTTATGGTCAGTGGAGCAGACGGATATAAAAATTTAATATTGATGTTTGGATCATTCACAAAGTGGGTAATAATCTGTCAATTTGACTTTTGTTACAAACAGGTTCTTCGACGCGTAAACCATCTGCATGTTTTGAATGAGGTTTTTTGATCTGCTCAAAAATAATTGTATATCAAATTTTTCAACGGTACATTTTGCGGCAGGAATACAGAGGCAGTGGGTCCTCTTTAGGGGAGCTGATATAGTATAATTGATATTTTTGCTCTCACCTTACGAAAGGATCACAGCTATTCACGGTTCCCACGGTCCTGGAAGGCAGATTTTTGGCCTTCAGCAACGAGACGAGCAGCTTTTCTGTGGAAGGTTCGTACTTCAAAGAAAACCAAAGCCTTCCTATATGTCCCTCAGGCCACTGAATCTCATCCAGATCCAATGTGCTCTTGTACAGGGCGGGTTCGATTACACCCAACCCATAGCAGCCTGGAAATTTCGAAAAAAGTTTATAAGCGCTAGAGAATATAAAAGTTAGCAATTGAGCATTGACAGTGGACACGTTGGAAAATAATTGTATTTGGGAACGATCATTTGCAATTTGTAGGACATGAAGGCAGAGTAAAGTTTCAGGTACCGGGCGATCTAAACTTTCTAAAACAAATTTTTCGACTAAATCGCAAAAAACCTGCATTCTTAATTTATGAAAACTGCTCGAATTGGCTACCTCCAGTTTGAATGCAAGGCTGTATTTTTCTATTCATAAACTTCTGGGCTCTTCCTAATATCCCATTTCTTGTTAAGTTACATATAAAAATTACCTGATTCCGCAGACTTACATATTTTTCGCTGGACTAGTATGTAAGCTATATCTTTAGGTAGCAGGGTGTTATTTAAAATAACTTACAGGGTTAAAGTTTGAACGTCGAGCCATAAGTTGAGTCGACCAGTCCAACAATTTCCATATCATATCTCCAGTTAAAATTCACTAGCAACCAGACTGATGTTGATGGATGTAAAACTCAGTAGGAGATGGACCTGGCTTACGATATTTAACAGGGTTTGATAGCCTATAATGAGGAGATTGTTGTCTTGCATTCGAGATGGAGATGGTTAAGTTAAGTATAGTTAAGTTGCAGAATTCATATGTACCTAAGCCTTGCTATAAAGTTCTTTCTGTAAGTCATGTTTGATTTTTGATGACAAAAAATGTTAATATCGCTAAGATTTTTCTGAAACTGACAATAGGCAATCCTAGAATAGTCCGAAAAAATTTTTTTTTCTGTGCCGCAGGTTCAGGTTTTGTGCAGCAATTAATTTTTGATTGACTTCAACCTTTCTCAAGAAAATTACTGGGTACTATAAAAGTTTTGCAATACAACTTAACAAACAGACGCAGGAGGCTGCATGTTATTGCATGTTGAGACATGTCCACGAATGCATAGTAGCTGTCAGCAGCACGTCTGCTGATTTAGTTGTTCATTCGTATTGACAGTGTAAAGTGCGGACTATGGCATCGTGATCACGTAGTGAGATAAAGGCAGTTTTACGGTATAACTTTACGCGTGGTTTAAGCATAGACCAGTGCTTAAAAGAAATGACGCTTGCATTAAAGAATGATTGTCCTCGTCGAACAACTGTGGTTAGGTAGTACAGAGAATTCCAAAGGGGCAATTCCACTCTGGAAGACGCTGAGAGGGAAGGAAGGCCGCGATGGTCAATATCATAGAAAAACATTACTCTGTGAGGAAAATGCTTGACGAAGACCGAAGAATGACTTACCAACAGATAGAGGAGACCTTACCCCTTCATGCACCAGTAATTCATTAAATTCTGCATGACCATTTACACCCAAAGAAACCCCGCTTTCTCTGGGTACCGCATAGTCTGACGGAAGAGTAGAAGACTCGTCGAGAGATGCTGAAAATGGGCAATCTCGGTATGTGAACAGCATCGTGAAAGGTGACGACACTTGGCTCTATTATTACGATGTGCCGACCAAGGCTCAAAACAAAGTTTGGGCCTATAATGATGAGGACACACCCGAGCTGTCAGAAAATCCCGATCTATTAAGAAAAAAAAATGATAGCTGTATTTTTCAAATCGAGCGGGATTGTGGAGCGTGTCGCTTTGCACACAGAAAACAGTCACTGCTAAGTGGTACACGAGACAGTGCCTGTCTAAAGTGATAAAGTCTATGAAAAACCTGCGACCAAAGTCAAGAATGGACCATGACAACGCTCCAGCTCACCGCGCCATAGTCTGCACGGAGTATTTGACCACTACTAGACAGGAACTTATTGAGCACCTTCCTTATACTCCAGATCGTGCTCTCTGCGACTTTGCGCGGTTTCCGCATGTGAAAAAGAATCTAAAAGCAAAAAGTTTTTGCATCGATGATGACTTTCTGAGGGCTTGTGACAACGAGTGTGCCGCACTCCCGGGTGAAACATGGCACAGTTGGTTTAAGGACTGGTTTTATCAATAAATAGAGCTGTATTGCAAAACTTTTATAGTACCCTTTGTATTTCTACTTTACCTTCGGTGCGATGACACAATAATGAACTGACCTACAAAGTCAGTAAGTCAGCATATGAATTATGAATATAGAAGTTATTTCTTCTATTTTGTTTACAGCAAAAAGTGACATCTATTTTGCGAAAGTGAAAGCATCTTATCTTCTATAGGCTGTCAGTGCGAACTGGGATACAGTTCCAAAAGTCCGTTTGATGTTTTCATTTTCGCTGTAATAGGTTCTGGTAATAGATGGCATTTTGTGCTGCCTTATTTCGATAAACCTTATACTCTAAATACAGTGGAGTTTTTCAGCTTCCGTTCGTTGTCCGCCGAGATCAAGCCCACACCATGCTGAGGAGTTGTCAAGTAGCCCGAAACAGTAGTCCGTGGCTGGCCTTCTATGTGGTCAGATATTACTATATAGTATGAAGTATTTAGTACTGTAACTAAACGCATACAGGGACGCCTTAGGGGGCTGCCAGGGAGGGTCAATGCCCCACCAGAGAATCCGTTTGGACCTTATTACTTGCATGTCCAGCACGATTTTGTGTATGTCGTGGTGATTTTATGGATTTGTCCCACCTGAGGAAGCTTGCTGCCCTCCGCTCTTGAAAAAACTTTTAGGGCAGGTACACTTTTACAAAAAGTTAGCTATCTCTTGTATGATTGGCCCTTCTTATCAAGTTTTTCAATGTTTTTGCTATCACAGGAAGTTCATGACACTAATTTCCATAGGTCTTCCGCTCATCGACGACACTAACATCAGTCGAACATCTGCCTGTCCATTTTGCTTTTTTATCACTTCCAATACTCCTTTTGGTTAATAATACTCAATTGTTTAATTTTGTTCTAGGTATCATGAACGCACCAGTCTGCTCTTAGGTGAGTATTTTGACAATTTGCTTTTTCTATTTTCGTATCATTGAATCTGAAATAATTTGCAAAACCTAAAGCCTTTATTATTAAAAGTTAGTGAAACTCAACAGCTTCTGGGAATATCCGATTGTAGTACAACCAGCGATGATTTTCTTGTATATTCAATTCGAAGACCAGAATATGCTGTACATCTGTTATTAGTAACGTATAGCGATAGTTAGGATAAACTTTTATGACATCAATGACTTTCTGAGTGATATTTCGAATTCTTCTGCTTCACGACCTACAACTTTTCTGTATACCATTTATACGAATTTCCGGCAAAGCTGTTTGATTGACCTTATACAATTGATTGAGGATCCTTTAATTCTGCGTTTGCTATCCGACCTAGAGATCGAGACCTTATCTGGTGAGTGCCAGTAAGCATAAAACAATGCTGTGCACGGTTGGTCCACTGATGGATAGACAGCGAAGGTAGTATTATCGTTAAGCCCAAAAATGGGTTTATTCATTTTTTATCGTTGTTTTTTTATATTGAAGCAGCCGCGCAGGCAGAAGCCTAAATTCCAGGACACCGCGGCTGCTATGAGGATTGAACTGCCTAAGGTTAGTAGGTTAGTGGAACTGGGAAAAGCTTCCCCTTGTAGATTGTTCCACAATCTCGATACCTTAGGGACAAAGAAGCGGTCATATCGGCTAGTTCTGGATGTCTGAAGTCCGACACGGTTAGGATGGGAGACCAAAGTCAGGAGGGTATGTCCGGCAGGCACATCGCGTGGCGGCCTCATGGTGGAGAGCTCTTAGGAGCAGAGGCCGTTGGTGCAGCGGTAGAAGAGAGCTAGATCGCTAGGGTCCCGAGGCCGTCTGTTAGAGAAAAGCCATCGATTAGTAGGACTCTGTACAGCATCGAGCATAAATACTGTAGTTCGGGTGGCAGCACCCCAAACGTATGAGCAAAAGTCGAGGCTTGATCTTATCTGGGCCTTTTATAGTGTGATAAGGTCATGCAGCCCTAAACAAATAGCGTAGCTTTTTGCTAGTAACTGCCTCTATTGATGAGATATGTTCGTGCCAGATCAAGTCCTCGGTGATTTGGACTTTTGGCCATCCATCCATCGAAACCGGATGAGCTCTAGGACGCTTTTTGTTTGTCAAGGTACAGTACTGTGTTTTGGAAGCATTAAACTGTACAAGATTGTTGCGTTTCTAAGCAGTGATAACCTCCAGCTCTCTTCAGAGAGGAAGTCCCCGCTAGTTTTATTTTTCCAGCTCTCCGGCAGAGATTGGCTTGTCGCTCTGGATTACTGCATGTAGAATGCTGTCATCAGCAAGGCTGTGGATTGGGATAATCATACAGGAGAGGATGTCGTTGATATGTAAGAGAAACAGTGTCGGAGCCCAGACCGATCCCTGGGGAGTACCCACGTTGACGTAGTGGGATGAAGAGGAGCACCCGTTAATTTCGACGGATATCTTGCGGCTAGAGAGAAAGTTAGCCATCCATCTGCAAACCTTATCTGAGAGGCCATAGGATGCAAGTCGCTAAAATCGTATAGCCTATATCAATGAAAACAACACGTACATATGTACAATGCTTAGCCAAGTATCTGCAAAGTTCCCACGTTACCGAACTCATATATAAGAATATTTAATCCCGCAAGCAATTAATAACTAGGTATACTTAGTTGCTCTCTATGCACACTAAACTTTCTTGCTGCTCTTAATACAGTACCAGACAGCAGCTGACCTAGAAAACATTTTTAAGGACGTCATTAAACAATACTACTTCTAAGATGAAATCAGTATCAGCATTTTTTGTTCTCCTACTGGGGAAATCAAAGGAGCTTGGGAAAAGTTTTGTAAGGTAATTTTTTGTAAACCGGCTTGGAAGGAGAATGCCCCGAGCGATATAGCGGAGAAAGGAATCAAACGAGTCTGAAGTAAACGAAACCTCATAATAGAGGCGTCCAGCGGGTTGTGTCAGTTTGAGGAAAAATATTTCAATAACAGAACTCAAAAAATCCTTGAGCTTTAATGAAATACTTTTTTAGCTAAATCGTTGTGTGTAGTTCGTTCTATAACTCGACTGTATTTTCTTCTATAATCCGAGTGAAACAGCAGAATAATATTTCAAGAGTTACCCTCGTTATTTTTTGTGGACAAAAAATACAATGGAAAAAATCTATATTTCATAAAATGGAATTTTTTGCCGGCCTGCTCGGATGGTTTGTACTCGTATTTAATTGTTATTAATTGCTTAGTTTGCCCTGGCAGACACTAAAAGTAAAATAATAGACAAACTAATAACATAATAAAATAACCTTTAAGCTCTCTTGTGTATGCAAAAGGGTGACTTGTGCTGAAATCTGCCACCTCTACAGGGTGGCCCATCCATGCGTGGACGGAATATTACTCATAAACAGATACATCTTGGGAAAATCTATTGATGGGATGTTATACATGAAATTTGAGGGCACATTTCTAAAATATTGGCTATTATGCAGGGTATCCCAATTTCGACCTACATATCAAAGCTGTGATTTTTCAAATAGAATGCCTGAAATTTTATTACATATTTGGATAAACTAATTCAAAAGAAGAAACTTGCTATGATATACTATGGGGTTTTGGTAATTAGCTACTGAGATATAAGGTGTTTTGTCTCAGTCTGCCATTTTTAAATTTGTAGTGCTGAATTTTGTATCAGAAAAAACTTACACACCTCAGATTTTATCTTTATTTGTTTCTTTTTTGAATTTTAATTTTTGGCCATATAGGGTGGTCAAAAACGCAAATTGTAGTTGTTCTCAAAAATTTCAAATGCATCACCCTGTATATTTGTGCAAGTTTGAATTCAATTTTTTATAAGCTTTTTTGATACTAGAGACATAAAGGCTTTTTGGACTATTTTTTCGGTTTTTTCGGTCTTTTATGGAATGGCTTAATTCCCTAAAATATCGCATCATGGAAACAAATAAATTGTTGATTAGCTACAAACCACTACAAACTGTCAAAATTAGCTTTGTGAGCATTATAATAAAAACGTGTTCGAAAATGAATTTTTCTAAAGAAGAAATGGTGAATATGGTGTTCGTTTTGGACGAAGCCCAGAGAAATAGTGTCCTAGCATATCGAATTTATAAGCAACGGTGCCCTAATATGCGACATCCAAGGCCGGAAACATTTTCCACACTACGAGAACGTTTTGACTCGAGTGGAGCAGCGGAATATAGTAAAAAATGGATAAATAATCCAAGTGTCATCAATGAGGCGAATCAGTTGGAGGTTCTATTAAAGTTGCAGGAAAATCTCCATTTAAGTGCACGGCAAATTGGACCAGAAACTGATATATGCAGAACTTCTGTCCGGAGGATTATTCACAAACATAGGTACCATTCATATCACCACCTATGCGTGCATCAAGGCCTTTTCATTCTCAGGATTTCGCAGGTCGAATGGGGTTTAGTAGAATAATGCTAAATACAGAAAAGTGAAGACACTACTGTCCTGGATAAGGTTCTTTTTAGCGATGAGGCAACTTTTAACAGCATAGGTGTTGTCAACGGGCATAACATACACTATTATGCGACGGAAAACCCTTACCGGGTTAGGCAAATAGATTTCCAAAATAAGTGGAGCTTGAATGTTTGGGTAGGAGTTATTGACAGACAAGTTATCGGGCCTTTCTTTTTCGACAACAAATTAACAGGTTCAGAATACTTGAATTTTTTGATCGAGCGTTTGCCTTTGCTTTTGGAGGATGTCAACCTGCAAACTCGGATGCATATGTACTTTCAACATGACGGAGCACCTGCGCATTATCATAATCGTGTAACTATTTGGATACCTGGACTAACAATCGGTCGTGATAGGCCTATTCCTTGGCCTCCTAGATCACCAGATATGACACCGATGGACTTTTTTCTATGGGGCTACATTAAGCAAGATGCTTATATGTAGATATCCATCATCTACCCCGGAAAATATGAAGGAAAGGATTAAGGATGCTTTTCTGGACCTAGGGGAACACATGCTGAGGGATGTGCAACGGACATTTATCCAAAGACTACGGCTGTGTATACAACATGGTGGAGATATTTTCGAGCAGTTTTTGTAGATTAGGTCTTGAGTAGTGATAGTTGTTTGTTTATGTTGTTTTTCTCTATTACGCTTGAAGCTGATTTATACCGTTCTGATTGTATTAGTTCTTACGTCAAATCTGTACTCTTAGTTTCAATATGGAATTAGCCGACTGTTTGTCTTTTGTTTCCGTGGATGATGTGATTTTTGGAAAATTGCAGAAACACATGAGCTATACAGAATCTGTTAGCTTTTCGTCTCTCAGGCGTAGGGGTCTATTGTCACTTTGGGCGTATGGGCTGAAGAAAGACGGAACGCAAACATTCAACTAAATATTATGTGTATTTTTTTATCTGTAAACAAACATCTAAGGTTACAAGTTACACTCTCTGGATATTTTTTAGCCAGCAGTACGATATTTCATATTCAAGTTTGAAAGGCAGGTCCATGAATCCTTATTTAGATGTGTTTCGAGTAAAGCGGTCATTAAATAACAAGCGATGATCCGGGTGGGCAGATGGTATCATTTCGTCTCACAAAAAATCACGAGCGTTCAATGTTCAATGTACTGGGTGTTTCAAATTCTAACCGCACTATTGGGATCGCGGGAACGGTAAGAGAGATTCGAGACATTGTTACGTCATCGTAACTGGAATCTTCAGTATAGATGTAATATCCACGCCTAGGCAACCAGTTTCACGCCATCGTGCGTCAAGAGTGGAGTAGCATCATCGAGGTGGATTGGCCAGCATCGGGAGTGTTCAGGAAGCATCGGTAGACATAAATTTAATATAGAGAACGTGGATGCGGCGCGGGATTGTTCGCCAATACCAAAATCAATATTCAGGCGCCTTCATCACAGTTGACAGCACAGAACGCGTCTAGTGCAGTCGTAAATTGATGTAACAGCAATAAATTAGAGTTTATGCAGTGAAAACGGTGTTTTCATCAGAATTAAAAACTCTTTATTTAGGTATCTATGCAAGATTCTAATCTGGCTTCCATAAGAATTACTACTAAACTAAACTTGATGATGGGGAACTAGGGACGAAACTTTACCTTATGAACAAGAAAATTTGGCAATGTTAATCTGTAATTTATTTTGACGTCGCACTTACCCTCATAAAGTCAGGAAACAATAAAAATATTTTAGAAAATTTCCCGTCTGTCTCAGGTAATATTCTGAAATACCGAAGTTTCTAAGCGCCATCTTCTTGCTTACCTAAATAATCTTGCCTCTATTTAACCGATAGAATGTCATGCCGTTTCAAAGTCCTATTGGTGAGATTCGAAATTGAAACAACCGGTATGGGCTTTTTATTGTAATACCAGCGATGGATATACTTACTGAATGAGTTTGAACGATAAGCATGACCTACAGTAGGTAGTAATAGGGCATCTGTGATACCAACGTCTGAGTCGTAGGGGTCCTCCGCAAGGTCACCCAATGATGTGCTTCTTAGTGGCGGAAGACTGAAATGAATGTCCTTTGTCCTGAAAAATAAAATGTGCAATAAATCTTTCACACAAAAAATACCAAATAGAAGTGCAACTCTCATTTCACTACTACCACATACTGGCGAGGAAGTATTTTAATCGCGAAACATCACGAGAAACCATGTTAGTTATTCCCGGCGGTCGACTAGTCTGTGTCTTTGTCGGTGTCTTTCTGTCTATAACTTGGGAAATAATGCTCGGATGTTGATAGAATTTTACGCAAGGTTACTACTATGTCAAAGACGAAAAACTTTTGTATTTTTTGAGAATCGATCCAGCGGCGACAGAAAAAAGGCCAAAAACGAAAAAAAATAAAAATAGCTCAAACTTCGTTTTTTCAAATTTCAGAGAGTCGTGATCCTGATCATTTTTGAATATATACTCGTATTTCAATGTCTCGATGTTATACAGGATGTTCCTTAATGATATGCAAATATTTAAGGGTGCCAATCTACATGAAAAATTAATGTTAGTTTGCTTTATAAACTATGGTCCAAAAATGTTTCCTTACAAAAACTCGGGGTGTTGAAGTTTTAGGAGAAAAATGGAAATTAATTAATATTTTCAGAACCGCTTTAGATATTTCACTGATATTTAGTACGTAGTGAAAGTTAATAAAGTTTCATATTTTTCAATGCATTAATAATTTTTAGCTTTAACAGTGCCGTGCGTACGGGTATTGACTTCGATATTTTTTAAGAAAAAAATAGTACGCCAACGGTTTTGTGCCAAATAAAAAATATTTTTGAATTCCCCGTTCAATTTAAAACAAATGATCTCTCTTGAATTGTTTTCCTTCGATGCGCCATTTTGAGTAAAAAAATAAAAACCGTTGTATTGTCTAACTTGCAAAATTATTATTAATTTAATTGGAAAAATTAAACACATTAGGGGTAATGAACGACAATAACTGACAACATAAACATAACATTAAAACCAATGAAATTATTACAAAAATTGTTGAAAATGCCCCCTTCACTTAGTATGCATGCTTCCACCCTCCTTCTCATGGAATTGCGCACTCGTTGAAATATCCCTGGAGTTTTTTATTCTATCACAAGCTGCAACTATTCTTTCTCTTAATTCCTCAACTGTGTTAATGGGACTTGTGTACACTAGTGTCTTAAGATAGCTCCACGCAAAGAAATCTAAACTGTTGAGGTCTGGGGACCTTGGTGACCATTCTTGGGGCCCACCGCGGCCAATCCAACGATTTGGATAAACAGTTTGTAAATAATTACGAACCGCTACACTGAAATGCGCTGGTGCACCGTCATGCATGTACCACATATTGTTTCTTATTACTAACGGAACATCATCAAGCAGCAAAGGCAACTGTTGTTGAAAAAAAATGAGATAAGTCTGTCCATCAAGTCGTCCCGGCAAGAAGAATGGGCCAATAAAGTGTTTGCCAATAATTCCTGCCCATACGTTAACCGAAAATTGGTGTTGGAAATGGGTTTCGGTTACGGGTTAGGGATTTTCTTCTGCCCACAAATGATTATTGTCGAAATTCTGAATGGCAGTTCGAGAAAAATTAGCTTCGTCCGTGAACAGAATCATTGATTCAAATTGCGGATTTTGTGTAATTTTTTGAAGATGCCACTGACAAGTGGTCACATGCCTTGGGAAATCAATGGGAGGTGATGCCTGTACTCTTAAAATATGGTAAGGATATAACAAAAAATCCTACTTAAATTCTCCAAACAATTTGATGGCAAATGTTTAAGTGTCTAGCGAACTTCCTCGTACTCGTTTCAGGATGTTCTTTGACTTCGTGCAGCACTGCTTCTTCAATTTCAGGTGTTCTCACACTTAGAGGTCTACCTTCAGATGCTCCTTTTCGGACAGAACCAGTTTCAACAAGACGACGATGAACATTAGAAAAGGTTCGACTATCTGGCAAACCACGATCGGGATATCTCTTGTGATAAATCCGTCTGGCTTGCTCACCATTACCGTCGGCAAGGCCATATACGTAATGCATTTCCGCCATTTCTGCATTTGAATAATTCACCATTATTAACAAGATTGTAACAACTAAGTAATGAAAAATATGCCACAGCGAACAGATTTAAATAACAGAGACTTGTCAGATGTCAAAAGCCAGTGACATATTCCAGAGCAACTAGATATTTATTGCTAAATTGCATTCTTCAATTATTACATTGATTTTCTCGGTCAATAGAACGGTTTTTATTTTTTTACTCAAAAATGGCGCATTGAAGGAAAACAATTCAGGAGAGATCATTTGTTTTAAATTGAACGGGGAATTCAACAATAATTTATATTTGGCAAAAAACCATTGGCGTACCATTTTTTTCTTGAAATATTTCGAGGTCAATACCAGTGCGCACGCCACTGTTATAGCTAAAATTATTATTTTTGCTTTGAAAAATATGCATCTTCATTAACTTTCACTACTACTTCAGTAAAATATCTGAAACGGTCCTGAAAATATTAATTAATTTATATTTTTTTCCTAAAACTTCAACACCCCGAATTTTTGTAAGGAAACACTTTTGTACCATAGTTTATAGAGCAAACTAACATTAATTTTTCATGTAGATTTACACCCTTAAATATTCGCATATCATTAAGGAACACCCTGTATACATACAGTAATGGACAAAAGTATATAGACAAATATGAATATTTACCTAAATACCTTTAGAAAACGAATTCATACATCATTGCTCCATAAACAAATGCGTTATTAGTAGAAAAACTAAATTCCTTGTTTTTACATTATCTGCAATGAACACAATGTAAGTCTAAGTATAAGCACTTTTTTATGAGGGACAAAAATATGTAGACAAATTCTTTTCAACATTAGTTTGTTACAGTTTCGTGTCAGAAGAGGATTAGTTTGTGTTCATCAAGTATTGTGGAATAAGTTGAGTGATTTTAAGACCATTCCGCGTGGTCCAGGAATTTCTTTCGATGTGAAAATTAAGATTATTGAGTTATACAAAGATGGTCAACGTCAAGTCGACATTGCAAACAATTGGAAGCTGAAGCGTACAACAGTTTGGGCAATATTGAACAAATATAAACAAAAAGATATCTTGGAAGCCTTTGAGAGAAGTGGTCGGCCTAGAAAACTAAATGCTAGATCAGTTAGACTAATAAAAGTAATTTCGTCCAAAGAGCCGTTTAAAACCCCAAAACAAATAAAAACCGAAATCGAGACAAAAGGAATTGTCAGTGTTTCTACGAAAACTATAAGTAGAAGATTAAATGATTTGAAGTTATTAGCACGACGCCCGAGTAAGAAGCCGCTAATCCCTAAAACCGTAAGAACCGATTGCAATTTGCACGGTTGCATCTTGATTGGAACATCTGTGACTGGTATGACGGTATGTTTCAGTGACGAATCCAAGTTCAATATGTTTGGATCAGATGGTGTTCATTACGTTAGACGTCCTAGTGGACAAAGATTGAACCCCAAGTACACTTTGCCCACTGTCAAACATGGAGGCGGGTCTGTTATGGTTTGGGGGTGCTTTTCGGGTTTTGGGGTAGGACCTTTACATAGAATAGATGGCATTATGGATAAGTTTTTACACACAGACATGTCATGTTACCCTATATGGTAGACAATATGCCCTTAAGATCAATCTTCCAGCAAGATAATGACCCAAAGCACACTTCAGATCTCGCAAATTCTTTCTGGATGAAAAAAATACCAGTTTTCAAATGGCCTTCACAGTTTCCCGATATAAATCCCATTGAAAGAGTGGAGACAGATTGATGAATCGTATATCAAGAAACTTCTACAATCTATGCCGAGACGATGCCAGGCAGTGATTGATAATAATGGTTATGCTACAAAATATTAACACAAACATGGTTGGTTTTCTATAATTCAATGAACTTTGCTTCTTTTTTCTATGATTGTTTTGCTTTGTCTATATATTTTTGTCCTTCATAGTTCCAGTTTTTTTCAATTAATTTTTTATAGAAGGGAGTCTAATGAATTTATTTATATATAAGTCAGTATTAGGCTATAACGAATTATGTGTACAGGTTGGTGTATTAATAAAACAAGTTAAAAAATAAATACAGCACAATATTAATTTGTCTATATACTTTTGTCCATTACTGTATATTTCATAATTCTACGCACCTATTAGACATATTTCACACATCATGGATTTTAACGTACATATTTGCCCTTAAAACTAAAAATGATAGAGGCATGCTCTCGATACGCTTCTGCTCCAAGGGTTCACCGGCCTACGTGCCGGTTCTGGTAAGTGTCCTGGCATTAATGCCGCTGTCCCGCGTCTGACGCGTAGTGCGGTTAGGTATCAAGTAGATGCGACATTGCCAGATGGACGGTATTACCGGTAGGGTAGGGAAAAAATGTCTATGGACTAATTGTATGGTCCAGTTTGAGTGAGATGATCCGTTTCTCTGACATACCTGTTCGTAACTAACTTTTTTCTTAGAAGGTCTAACTTGTGCTGAACATAATTCTTTATGAACTGATGATGGTGCTTGTTTTCTTCACTTTCATTAAAGCGACTAGTCAATACCATTGCTTTGCCAATTTCGTGTCAAATTGATGAAGTTTAAAATTTTTGATGAAACTTTAAAATATGGACCACAAAAATGTTATCAAATCTGATAACTCTACTTGAAAAACGGTTTGTCGCATAAAAAAAAACAGACGGGGATCTTATACTTATGTGCATATAGTTTGGATAAAGTGCTTACTGAAACTGAGGAGGTGATCCTGTTCTGCTAGATGGGTAAACCAGGATGCTGGAAGTATTATAATCATCTTTGAGATGTTTGCGACGATTTCTTCTGATGAAAGCATATGCTAGGACTACCGTGAGAAGTAGAAGGCCACAAGCTGCTATAGCTGCTAGTGAAAATGGTGAAAAGACGTCTGAAAATAAAAAATCAACGCTAGTAGTCAAGTAGTTCCGTTGATTCAGGGTATAGGTAGAGGGTAGAGAAATTGTTTGTAATTATGGTGATATATTTCTCAAGGTTGTCTAAGAGCGCAGAGGAGTTTTTAAAAATCGAAGAGCGCGGTAAAATTGCAGATTAACTTTTTGAAGTAAAAAAGCCTCGAGTTCGTCGGTCTGCGTTACAGTCCAAACATCCAGAACAACTTATTCCGAAACATGTGTGCATCTACAAACTCTTTTTGCTTGGCCATGAATAAAAAGAGAAAATAGCATATTGGTATTTCATAGCTTTATTTTTTTTTATTCCAGTGCTACGCAGATGTCTTATATCGATTTATAATATACAGAATGTTAATAAAGTACTTGGGCAGGCATTAGTGGGTCATTCCTAGAATGATAAGAGTGGAGGCATAGGCGCCCATTAAGATAGGGTAATATATGGTACTTTGTGCTCTCTTATTTCGATAGACCCTATGTCCTGGGTAGAGTATAGTTGCTCAGATGAGACCAAGCCTAGACCATGCATAACCAGCGATGTCTCATATCTTATACTCGTGGCAACAGAAAATACATCATATTCTCAACACAACCACCGAATGCTTATCATCCAAGTACTATGTTTAAGTAAACTAACAATATGAAAAATTACTTCTAAAAGTTCAAAGAGGGATGAGTGATGAAATTTAATTTATTTCTCCGTATCCAATTTCAGCTTGTCCCTTTTTTCATAAAATGTAATCAGTGAGGGGCAAATTACAGTTCATCATTAAGATACTTACGGTTTGTCGTCTGCCCATCTCGTACTTTTCCTGCCAGAACTCTTTCAGCGTGTGCTTCTTCAGTCGGTGCGAAACCCTTTAGTGGTGATGATGTAGAGTGTATTTGTTTAAGCAGATCCCAATCATGGTTTGAGTATTCACGACTCTTCGCTACGAACAACTCTCTCTTCCAGTGGTCTTTGTCCATTGCTGGATAGAGGTCCGATTATTATTCCGTTACATTTTCTGAAAAAAATAACATAAATGGTGGTTATGCATTTGAATGGGAAAGTGCCGTTAAAAAGTAAATGTATTATAGTTTGTCAATCAAATACGGTCTATAATATAATAAGATTAATAATGAGATTTATTCAGCCACTTGTGGATTCATTAAATTGTAACTGTAATAGCATTCTTTTGAATCCTCTTTTGAGGCTGTGAATGGACGTTAATTTAAAGAAACTTGGGTAATCATTTAGTATACTGGGAGCTATGTAATAGAAACATTTTTTAAATTTTGAGGTAGTGTGGGCTGGTATATTATAACAATATTCATTACGGAGGAACAGTTGATGGAGTGAAGATCTTTTCTCTAATGTGTCAAAAAGATATTTCGGAGATTTATATTTTAAAACCCTAAATAGTAGAACAGCATAGAGAAGTAACGAGCGATATTTGAACTTTAAAAGATTTTCCCTTACATAATACCCAGTAATGTGTTCGCGTCTGTTTATCTCATTGAAACAAAACCTCATACAATGGTTTTGTAAAACTTGAATTTTCTGTTGCATTTCCTCAGTGATAAAAGGGTAATATACAGTACTACAATAATCTAAATGTGTGAGGATTAATGCATTAACAAGTTTTAGTTTGATATCACTTGTTAATATATACTTATATCTCCATAGCGATTTATATTTATAATAACATATTCTGAGCTTATTTATAATGTGACTTTCAAAACTTAAATTTTTATCAAGTACTATTCCCAAATTTTTTGTTTCTTCAACAAATTCAATGTTAATTCCTTCTAAAAATATGTTCGTATTTATTACTTGTTTACACTTCAGAATCGCTAGTCTAGAACCAACACAACATACTTTGGTTTTCAAGGGATTGAGCTTCAAACAATGATTTTTTGAGTACTGTTCAATTATGTCTAAATTTTTATTAAGTTCTAATATTAAAGAATTTACATTGGTTGGTTGACATGGTTTGTAAACTTGTACATCATCCGCATACAAATGTACATTCCAGTCAGATGATATATGTTTTATCAGATCTGAGGTATAAAAAGTAAATAAAATAGGACCTAAAACGCTGCCTTGTGACTTCAAAGCTCGTAAAGTAGACACTTTACCACGCAATTTTACACATTGGGATCTATCAAACAAGTAATTACTAAACCACAGCATGGCATTTCCGGTCAAACCATAATGGTGTAGTTTTTCACACAAAACTCTGTGATTTACCATGTCAAATGCCTTGCTGAAGTCTAGCATGACTAGTAGCTGCTTGAATATTTGCACGCGCACACAGGTTGCTCGTACATATCTCTCTGTGTGTAGGCAGAACGAATATACGTATCAGGAATAATACCAGTGCGGTTCGCGTTAACCATCTCCAGGTGTTAACTGTGTTTAATAATGGCTGATAGCAGAAACTATTCAAAAGAGTTTTTAATAGAATTCATAGAACTTTATAAACCTTACCCCTGTTTATGGAAAACTAAATCCAAGGACTACATGAATAGAAATAAAAAAGACGATGCGTACAAAATATTGGTTGAAAAGTGGAGAGAAGCAGAAAAAACGGCTACCAAGGAAACAGTGAAAACCAAAATAAATAGTATGCGAGCTGGGTTTCGCAGAGAAATAAAAAAAATTGCAGAGTCCAAAAGGTTAGGAGCTGGGCAGGATGACATATATATACCACATTTATGGTATTTCAATTTGTTGCTTTTCTTAAAAGATCAAGAGATACCCAGATCATCTGTATCAAACGTACCAGACGAGAACGTGGTGAATGAACAGTTTGATTCAGATCAAGGAGAGGTAAGTAAAAAATTCTCCATTTAGGTACTGTAATGTTTTATGAATAAGAAGCTTTAAGTTTTCTACAGGGTACTGTTGTCTGTTGTGACTATTACTGTATCATTTTATCTTGCCAGCTCAGATCACCCTCATGACAGAAGTAATTCGTAAACAGTAGTCTAACTTGTTTTGCTTCATTGTTACTCCCTCGATTGTAACCGCGCTGCAGTCTTGTCATTCCAGTGCTTTCTAACCCTAAATCTATTGTGCCATCTTGTATATTTTCACTGTAAACGTTATCTTCTGGAACATTTGCAGTTCCACATTTTCTTCTTAAATAATTATGTAAAACACAGGCGGCCATGACTGTTTTTTCAATTTCTTCTAAACTAATGGAAATCGCTACTTGAAATATTCTAAAACGCGTACTCAGTATGCCAAAAGCATTTTCAACTCTACATCTTGCTCGTGAAAGCCGATAATTAAAAAATTTTCGGTCATGATTAAGTTCTTTGTGACCAAATGGTTTTAAAAAGTCGCAGCGCAAGGAAAATGCTTCGTCACCTATGAAAACGGCATTATATAGCTTTACTGCCTCTAGGTTTTCTTTGAGGCGGTAAAGATAAATTCCCATTTTTTTGTTTCTGATAAAATGTAGTGTGGTCAATAACACCTCCATCAGATATTCGATCAGTTACTCCAAAATCAACCATAATGAACTCATAATTTGCGTTGACTATAGCCATGAGCAGTAAACTATGTCCTCCTTTGTAGTTATAGAAGTAAGAACCACTTCCAGCAGGGGGGAGTATATTAACATGTTTGCCGTCAACGGCTCCCACGCAGTTTGGGAAGTTTCATTTCGTTTCAAAATCAGCAGCAATTGTATTCCATTCATTCTCTGTTGTAGGAAACTGCAAAAAATATTTAAATTAATTTACAGTCTTTTTGTCACTCTGTTTGGTCGAGTTTGAGAACCGTTGTGTGCAGCAGGTTGCTACTCTGCCTATACGGGGACATTACAATATGCAATATTTAGGAAAATTGTTTTTCTTTATTTAGAAGGTTGACACACTGACAACTGAGTTTTAATTCGAAAATCTTATCCTTAAAGTTTCAAAAAACAAGCAAATTATTACATTTTTATTTTAGGAAATTGGGAACGCATCAGAATCTGAAAGTGAAGGATGTCGTAGTTCATTACAAATCCCATTGGATGCCCAACCAAGTACTAGTTATGGAACTCACGGAGCAGAACACGATACTGAAGAATTTAGTAGTTCGGTACAGAGCCCATTAAGTAGTAGGTCCGGTACCCATAGAAACAAATCGTTAATTCCACCTACAAGTCATTGTACAAAGAAACGTAGAGCTAAAGCAGATGCCCAGGCAGACGAAGTTCTTGCTCTTGTTTCAGACAGGCTAAAGTGCAGTATTGAAGATCAATGCACCAGTTTCAAAAATAATGTTGCAGCGAAATTGAGAACTCTTCCAAGAGAAACAAAGTTATACACGGAAAAACTCGTCAATGATCTATTGTTTGAAGCAGAAATGGGTCGTGTTACCAAAGCAACAAAATTGTTTCGCTACTCGATTCAGCAGAAAATAACTCCCAAGTTACTTTAAACAGAGACGGTTCCGCTACTCTTTATTATCCTCAGCATTATACCTATCCATCGCAGTTTGCGCCTCCCCAGCAACATGTGTCACAAAATTCATTTCATACCTGGTCATTTCAAAAAACACAAGAAATGCAACCAATAAAACAGGTACATACTGTTCAGCCAGTTGACAACGATGTGTGCGAAACAGATAACCTTGCCAGTTTTCTAACTAACTTTCAATCAAACTAATATTTAGGACAGTTTTGGCTTTGAATACCTCATAAATAGCATTGCAGGTCTCCGGAATCATTTTACTATTAAGGTGAGATGATACTAGAAAATTTCAAATCTTCATAGTTCCTGCCAGTAGCTAGGTACCGAAGGGTAACAGAGTCTTTCCTGAGGTGATATGGCAGACCTCATGCACGTGTCTTGTTTCTGGATCAGTGGCGTTACTAAATTTAAAAGTAATACATAGCTATCCTCATCCATGCGGAGATAATTTCGATAATCATACGGTTCTAGAAGAAGTTCTTCCATTAGATTTACGTGTGAGAATCGATCACGCTGCAACAACCATTTCTTTAGAAATTTACTTCGTGGCCTGCGTTTATTCATTAATCGGTTTTTTTTCTTGATTATACACACGCACGCCACTGCTAATAAATTTAAATCAATATCACTCACTGTCGCCATATTCATTAGCAAGTTGGACAGTAAATGTTCTTTAGGCAGTTCGAATAAAACGTATATGTTCGCGCGTACTTGTACGCGCATACATATCTCAAGGAATGTTCGTGTGTCTTTAGGCGCCTTATGGTTGGTCTCGTTTAAATAATGGTGAATGTGCTTATTATTTCGGGTATGCGCATCCATCACAAAATTAGAATTAGTTTTACCTGATTCATTCAGGAAATGTGTCTTGGTCTAGATTACCGATCTGTAGAAGTTTCTTGGTTTTTTTCTCTTAGAAAGTCCTGAAATATTATATTTCAATTTTTTTATCCCGTTGTCACAAGCGAAGGAAAACTAGTGCACTTAGGAAATTTTGAGCCCTGAATAGAAAACCTTAAAATATGAGACTTTGTAAGGCGCCAATGGAAGTGGGCAGGGGGCTGTGACCTCCCTAAGAATTCGATTGGACCTTAAAATTTGCATATTTAGCATAATCTTGTGTACAATTTTGGGAATTTTCAGAATTTGGGCAGGGGGTTCCCCTGGCACTACAAGGTTGGGGTACACTTCCACAAAAAGTTGTCTCTTGTCGGTGTTCGGGCCTCCTGAGAAAAATTCCTGCGGCGCACATAACTCGGAGTATACGCACCTCATTTACTCAAAAAGCGAACTTTCGCCTAAACCAGAGGATATGAAGAGGTTTATTGATTTTCTTATAGGAAGCCTCATAGTGTTATAGGAAATGTCATTTTTGTCTCCCTTTATGACAGATGAATGAAAATTTTCACTTTTAGGCAGAAATTGTGGAAGAAGGTATGAATCGTAGACTTAAATTGCGTCAGAAATGAATTTCTGATTCTGCGCATGTGGCATCTATCTTATGTCTGCATCTCTATGTTGCTTTCGTCGTGAACGTCTTGACAGTTTAGACGAGTC